GCCTGTAGTCCCAGCTACTTGGGAGGCTGAGGCAAGAGAACTGCCTAAGTCCAAGAGCTGGAGGTTGCTGTAAGTTGTGACGCTACGGTACTCTACCGAGGGCAACATAGTGAGACTCTGTCTCAAAATAAAATAAAAAATAAATAAATAAACATAAATGTAATTAAAAGCTTAACCTGCAATTATGGACAATTCATTGCTTATTGGTATTTTAACCAAAATTGGTCTCAATTAATGACTCATATCTATGAAAAAGAATTCTAAGTTTCATGTACATTAAAATCAAAATGAGAAATATTACTAATAACATTATTATTTGTACATTCTCATTTACTTAAACTTAGAATATTATTATGATAACAACATTATTTGTACACTCTAATTTACTTAAACTTCTTTGACTATACCCCTAATCTTTTATAAACGTGCCAATCCTGAGATTCACTCATTCAATCAAAAAATATGTCCTGATCATGTGCTACATACAGGGTACTACGCCAAGTACTGAGAATTCAGTGAAGTCTTACAAGAGCCCCAACCCTCAAAGGAACTTACATTCTGGGGGAATGAAATAGATAATAGTTAATTACAAAACAAATTACAACTGGAATAAGCATAACTGAAATATGCAACAAGGGGTCACCTTGACATAGATTTAAAATACACAAAAGATCTATATGCATCACAAATATTGAGAGACTATCCTAACACGTGAAAAGAAAATATCACCCTCCCTTTTTGTAACAGAAGGCTCTATTAAAAAAAAACTGTTTATGAAATAAAAAATAATTAAAATAAAAAAACAAGAAATCAGAGGTTTTTAAATATTTCAAACTAAAACATATACTGACTTCAAAATTAATTCATTATATTCCTCTGCAATTCATAAAAGTACATTCGGATCATATAAAAATGACTTATACTCATCCCCACACAATTTTTCTCATATCTCCATCTTCAGTTTCTCTAGAGTACCACCTTCTGCCCTGCTCTTTTTAACCTAATTTTCCTTGCACACCTAAGTGAATGGGAGACTATCTCATACCCCCTTATAGTGAGTGATTTTATACTTGCCTAGATTCTATTTTAACTTTCCCAACCCTTTAAAACCTTTTATAAACTGGGGGGGGAATAAAAAAAGATGTGACTACTTAACAAAACAATCCATTACCCCAAAGACACCAAAAGGTAGTTCTTCTTTTATTTGTTTATTTTGCAGTTTTGGCCAGGGCCGGGCTTGAACCCACAACCCCAAGTATATGGGGCCAGTGCCCTTCTCCTTGAGTCACAGACGCTGCCCCAGTTCATCTTTTATATACAGAAAGGAAAGTCACTGTTCTTTCCCATAATCTTAATTATCTAGCACCTGTGTAGTCTTTTTTTTTTTTTAGTCAGTCTCTCTGATCACCTAGGCTCAGTAGTTTTTTAAACAATAGGTCAGGGCTCAACTAACAACAACAACCATTGTACTCATTCATCATTTTATTCAGCAATTATATATTGGACACTTACTATGTGCAAGGTATATCACCAACAGAAATCTGTTCCATACCTGTGCTGTTCCGTAGATACCCACCAGCCACATGTGGTTATACAGCACTTGAAATGTGGGCAGTGCGACTGAGAAAATGAATTTTAAACTTTATTTCATTTTGATTAAATTTAAATATAGATAGCTGCATATAGCTAATGGTACCACATTGTACAGGACAAGTATCAGGCAAATGTTTGGCTCTAGGTCTTTATTATGTCAGTGCCTCAACACAGCTTCAACAAACCAGCCAACGAGAGTGTCAAATTAGAAGGTGGCTCATATGTGTCTGTTTTGTTTTGTTCAGAATCTTTGCAAAGAAATTATAGAATTCTGAAGGGACAATAAGAATTAAAAATGATTTAGTCTGGCCCCATTTAACAAAAAAGAAAACTGAACATAATTTAATCCAATAGGGGACAGCTAGGCTGGAACCCAATTGTTAGAAGAACCAAAATTTTCACGTTTGATCTATAGAACTTCTCCTATTCCATATAAGGATAATGACATAGATATACAAATATATTACAAGACAAGAGCCATACCGATGTACCAGCTGTAGCACCCTGGAATGCTGTAGGTATATCATCTTGTAAGTCATTTAGTGAAAAAGAGTGGTTTAATTCTGACTCAGCAATAGTTTTTCCAGATGAATTGACTTCTGCCTATAAATAAGATACATCCAAGAGTAGTGTTACAACAGGAAACATACAGAATAACCCACCACCTGCTAAAGTCCCTCTCTTGAATTTATTTGAACTGCTAATCTAATATCTACCATCAGTCAGGGAAGCATTGGGCACTCACGTGTCCAACACCGGCCAGCTGTTAGAGGAAGAGGCACAGACACGAAGCTATTCTCAGGAAGGTGTTACTTGGTGAGGGACCAACCCAATACCCTTGGTTCATAAATCCACAATTCTAAAAAGTTCTCAAAACTAAAGATTTTGGTAATTTTTAGGCAGGTCTGACATGAACTAATATGAAGTTATTAATAGTCTTATCCCACACAAATCTAAATATTCTTAGGTATGCTGAGAAAATACTAAAGGATCTGATTACAAGGTGCTGCCCTACGTCCCACTGTGGGCTAGTTAACACGTGAGACTGGAAGATATTTTCTAAAATCTGAAAAATTCTGATGTACAAAACTATCTGGTCCTAAGATTTTCAGAGAACAATTTTCAGCATAATAGGGATCCTCAGAAGGAAGAAAGTGACACTTTTGACCACCTCTTCCTCCAGCCACTGTAATAAAACAGACAACTCCCAAAAACTGGACCAGGAAAGACAGGATGAGAGAAATGGAGAAGGAGGTGGAAGCATGTTGCTTAATGCAGGCTGTTTTTTTCTGAAGCTAATTAAGTTCCAGAAATCTTAAATACTTAACACTTTAAATAATAATATATTCAGGGCAGTGCCTGTGTTCATTGGGTAGAGCACCGGCCACATACACTGAGGGTGGCAGATTCGAACCCGGCCTGGGCCAGCTAAAACAACAATGACAACTGCAACAACAACAACAACAAAAATAGTCGGGTGTTGTGATGGTCACCTGTAGTCCCAGCTACTTGGGAGGCTGAGGCAAGAGAATTGCTTAAGACCAAGAGCTGGAGGTTGCTATGAGCTGTGACACCATGGCACTCTACCCAGGGCGACAGCTTGAGACTCTATCTCAAAAATAAATAAATAAATAAATAAATAAATATTTTTTCAATATTCAAAGTATTAAAATACTATATAATCCTATTTGGGGGTGAAAGACACAAAAGAAAAGGGATATAAGGGAGATAAGCCAAAATAGTAACAGTAGTTATTTTTTGAGGATGGGATTATAGATGGCTGTTGTTCTCTAACTGCTTATCTACAGTTTCTATAATAATAGCTAGGCTTTTTTAAGCACCAGAGAAAATTCTAAATGAAACACATGTACTGCATTCACTTAATCCTTACGACAATCCTCTGACACGTGCACTCTGATTATTTACAGATGAGAACAAGGCACACAGTGGTTGAATCCGACATCATTCCATTACTAAGCAGCAAAGTTGGGAACTGAACCCTGGCATTATGTACCAGAGTCTAGCTTTACTATGCTATAATGAGTTTGTGAATACAGAATATGTGTTCTGTAATAAGAAATTTTATTTATAAATTTTATTACAACAGAGTTATACTGCTTTCCTTTCTATCTAGAATCTAGCAATAAACACAAGAATTTATTTAAGAATTTATAGTATCGGCTCGGTGCCTGTGGCTCAAGTGGCTAAGGCGCCAGCCACATACACCTAAAGTGGCAGGTTTAAATCCAGCTCAGGCCTGTCAAAACAACAGTGACGGCTGCAACCAAAACATAGCCGAGCGTTGTGGCGGGCACCTGTGGTCCCAGC